CTGCTGCCCTGCCTGTATAATTATTAAGTCTAGAGAATAGGTTGGGAAAACAGCTTTGAGAAAAGCACCTCTTATAAATGAATGATTACTGACTTGGCAAAGCATTCATAATATTGACAGCCAGTTAGGAAATTAAATCAATGCAATCAGGATAGTGATTATTTTTCTCAAGAAGTGTTTGTGTAAGAAAAAGAGGGCAAACATTTGTGCTTCCTGGAATGTTAGGACCAATATTCTGCTGTGAAAAGTGACCTATAGACATGGGGTTGTTCTGTATTTCAGGACTGTAAGTTAGGGAAAGCTCTGAGCTGGGTGTTGCTAGACCTTCTGTTGAAGTCAGCTTCTCAAAGAAAACAAAAGGCTTTCAGATTCAAATTTGTCAGTTTTATTGGAATGAAGACTAGAAAGGTAACTTCTTCCATAATAAAATCTTCATAGTGATTTGTGAGGTGTAGCAGAGTTCTGTGCACCACTGCCCCCTTTGTGCAGGTAGGTCTTGATGCAGTATTTGGTTGTATTTAATGTGATTTGGTGAGTGGCAGCACAGTGGGGGCTGTTTAGGGTTTGGAAGATTTTTTTTGTCACAAGGAGATTTTGCTTAAGTAGAAAAAGAATTGTGCTAGGTTTACATAGTAACTGGAAGATACGAAAATTGAAGAAGAGTTAAGAAATTATTTTGCTTTTAAGTCAAAGGGAAAGTTGAATTTTTACAACTTAATTGAGAGGAAATCTCAGAGGCGGAGTGAATACAGAGATCTCAGATGCTGGGACATTTTAAGGAAGTTCTTAAAATTAATGTGAATAAAAATGTTACTATTAGTCTCTCTCCCCCATTTTGGACTTACTTTGGTGTTAGTATGTTTTTCTTATTTTTTGTGTTTAATATGGTGTTTACTTTTGCCATCATACAAGAAGATGATGCCAATTCTCTATGCAAATGTCATCTTAAAGCTAATGAATACCAGTAATGTATATACTGGAAGCAATACTTATTCTGAGAGCATTTTGATTTTAATGATTCATAAATGTTCTGATAGTGCATATGTGGGTGAAGGGTAACTTGTGTGATCATCCTCTAGTTCTGCTTAATACTTCATGTGTAATCTGCATATTTGTCTTGTTTCATCCTGATTTTTACTGCCCTGTGTCTGCAGTCCCATGGCTTTTCCTCACAGTTGTCATGCTGCTTTGAGCAGCTCAATCCCTTCTTACACCTTCACTTCTTCCCAGCGTTTTATCCTTCATTGCAAAATGAGGGGCGGGAGGGAACTGATCCAGGTTCTCCCCCATCTGGTTGTTCACTTGCCAGGGAAAGGAGAGCCAGAGCTCACTTCCCTGGATGCAGTTTCTCTGGTGCATAGTTTGTTTCCTATAATCCACAATGAGTTACTTGTAAATGACTTTAATTAAAACATGAATGTAGTATAAACGTTAATATGTTTTTATAGATGTTAGAGACTTGCAATAAAAGTGTGCCATCAGATTGTTATGTCTTCAGTTGATAAAAGGATGCAGAAGGCAGAGACTGATGAGAAGGGATGGGCTGGTTGGATTAGGATTATTTTGGGAAAAGGCTATTAAGAGAGAAACAGAATTGCTTTAGCCATTTTAGTATTTCAGCCCTTGCAGTAAAAAGTGTTGGTCCATGTCTAAAAAATATTATAGCACTTTCTGTCAGTTTTTCTGATAACTTTATAAAACCTTGACTTTAAAGCTCTGATTCTGTCTTGATAATCAGCATTCAGATGTACTAGTGCATGCTTTCACTAAGCCGATTTCCTTTGAGTCTGTGAATACTCACTGTATTTCAAAAGCTCTGAACAGTTTTAAATGGCTGAAGAGAAAACTGACAAGCCTGAAAATTAAATTGTAGCAAAGACCTGAAAATGAGGAGAGTTCTCACAGTCACCCAAACAGAAATTTATCTTGCTTTAAATTTTGATTTTAATAAATGTATACTCCTCTGTGTATTTGACATAAATCACACATGCCACTTAATAGTGTCACTTTAATTTTACTTTGTAGGTTATTAAAGTGTTAGGTGTATTTACACAGATTTATTAGAGCAGTTGCTCAATTTTCTGTTCTTTTATGTGAAAGTAGATACAATGGTAATATTGCAGGTTATTAAATTTTGGGACCTAAATGTGTTGGCTCTGTGTTAGCATGGGAATAAAATTCATTGAAAGCTCTAAGTATCTGCTGGGAAGAAAAGGGTTTGCTGTCTTTCCTCAGCCAGCTGTGAACATCTGTAAGGAACTGTGTGTTTCATTCCAAGCTGCTGCCTTAAGGAGTTCAGGAGTTCTGCTGTGGGGTCTGTAGGTATGTGCCCCAAATACCAGAAAAAGAATCCCCCACCCCAGAATCTCAAACCAGCTAATGCCATGGTCTGTGTGGGATGGCTGGGAACATGGAATACTCATTTTATTTATTTGTACCACCCTTTTCTTGGCTTAGGACCCCCTAATTTTTCAAGTATATTTACTCTCACATACTTCCCATGTTTCCAAGTACAAAAAAAGCTCTGGCGTTAGGTGTTACCCTGTTCCCAAGGCACCCCCAAATTTCCAGGAACATTGAGAAAAATTACTGAGTGAAACTTCTTAGAATTGTATTCCCTGGCAGGTCAACTTGCTTAATAAAGAAAAGCAGATATGACCAGAACAATTGGTTTGTGGGATTATATTCTGTGGGGTATTGAGGTTTTTTTGTTGTTTGTTTGGAGGTTTTTTGGTTGGCTGTGGTTTGGTTTTTCTTAGCTTCTCCTATGGTTCATATGGCCTGTTGATGTAGTCAGACTGGCATGAATTTCATGAAGGGTTTTAGAGTGGTTTTTCTTGAGAAGAATGTAATTATATTTTTTGTTTTGTTCCCACACCTCCAGATACTTAACTGGAGAAAGAAAAAGAAAACAAACTTTTATGACTTACTTTAATGCTTTAGTAATTTTAAAATTTTTATTTAGTATGAACCCTGCTTAAAATGACTGTAATCTTGAGTCATATATATGAGTCTGGTTTTAACTTGTGCTGAATTGTATTCTAATGGATTCCACTTGATTTCAGCCTGTTTAACTATAATGTCCTTGTTGGTCAAAATAAACATGTAAAAGTCATGTAGAACAGTGCAACCAAAACCCCATTATGGTCATGTAGCAACATAGATTGTATTGATATCTTTGAAATATTTTCAAGGTCTGTGGTAGCTTATAGGTATGATAAAGAACAAAGAGTGTAAGTTTTTAAAGTGACCAGTTGCACTTTATTTTTTTTTTTTTTCAGCCTGTGTATAAGGCTGTCTTTGGAAGAAATATTTCATCATTTAACTGTTGCCTACTTGTTTATAACAGTGAATCCTGAAGTCCATTTATCTCTCTGTTATTTGAAGGCAGGTAGTCAAGAGAGCAGTCACAGAGCTCTGCTTCCCCAGGCCCTTTATGTCCTGTAGGGCTGTAACCTTAGAAAGGTCGTGTATAGAAATGATCTTTTTTGTTGTGGGTGAAGGCTAATGAGTTTCTCTGTGTCCTTGGCTCATCTTACGTTTCAGCTCTGCCTCCTCTGAGATGTTTGAATGTGTGAGAGAGACCTGACCAGTGGAATGGCTTCAGGGTTCCTGGTTTTGGGACCTTCAGTATTCCAGGGGTGTTTGTGGAGGATTCTTCTCCCATGTAGATTGCCTGTTGAATCCTGTCACTACTTCAGTACTGTAAACAAAAACAGGTTGAACAAACTGTTGCATCTTTACTTGTACTGAAAAACCATGTTTATTCTTTTTAGTGTTTAAGCACTGGTTTTAATTAAGTTGAAGCACTTTGTTTAAGCAAAATAGATTTGTGGTACTTAAGCCTTAAAACTACTTAAAAGTACCATACAATTACTAACACCTCCCAGCATTTGCCAGGTATTCCTTACTATGACTTATTCTTGTGTCAGCAATGAGAAGTTCCATCTTAGATTGGCCTTTTAGAAGTTTTAAGGTTTCCAGGTTTTAAGAAATAAGCATAAATTCTTTACTATTAAAGCTTTTTTAAAGTGTGATCAGGAAGGTCAACCAGTGGATTTTGGTGCTGAGGCAGGCATTGGTGCCTTAAATGAAACCAGGTAGTTCAAAGGAAGTGAAGTGCTCCCCAGTCTGAGGACAGACCTTCAGAGTAAAAATGTGGATTTCATCTCTGCAACTTTCTGCTATTGCTATCCTCTTGTGTACATGAACATTGGATAAATGAAGCTGCCTCTGTATTGTTTTGATGCATTTGGTAAAGTAAACAACAACTAAGAAGTTGACATTCCTTTTATTATTATATTAAGTCTCTTCATTTGCTGTGAATTAAGAAAACAGCAAAAGTAGTGAGTTCTGCTTACTTTATTGGTCAAGCACATATTGTTTTTTGTGAAAATGTTCCTATTGATGCATGTTATGTGTTCACAGTACAGCAAAAAGGTCCTCACTGTATTTCAGTGAAATTGATTTTGCCATGGGAAGTGTCAGTGTGGGGATAATTATTGAAACTCAAAACTTGTTTATGGAATTATGGTCTTGCTGTGTATTCATATATATGTATTCATGTATATTCATACAGGGTTAAAAATGATGTGGTGTTTTTAGAAATACAAATTAATCAAGCTTGATGTGTTTGACAGTTCTTTCATCCTTCTTTGGAGTTGAGTTAATGATGGTAAATGCCAGCCTCCAGTCAAAGTAGTTGTTTATTGTAAAATAAAGTCTTGAGTGCTGGTGTTTCCATTTCTACTTCAACCTGGACTTTCTTGGTGAACTTTATTTTCCTCATAGCAGTTGATGATTAAATTCCTTCTACAATATGTTCAAGATCTCAAACACACAATAGCAATACAGTTCCTGTAAGTGGTTCATTTGTTAATCTGAGCTCTGTTTTACAATAATTGTATGAATGCTGCTTTCCTTTGAAATTGATCTTCAAAAAGAAATCCTGTTTTGTATAAGATGCCAGACTCACAAAGATTTCCTTTCTTGTTTCATAGACGTTCCATCTTCAGAGCAGCCTGAACTGTTCCTAAAGAAACTTCAACAGTGCTGTGTCATTTTTGACTTCATGGACACGCTTTCAGACCTTAAAATGAAAGAATACAAGCGCTCCACTCTTAATGAACTGGTGGACTACATTACAATAAGCAGAGGCTGTTTGACAGAGCAGACTTATCCTGAAGTAGTTAGAATGGTGAGTTCTTTCTTTCTCATGATCTCTTTTTAAATCCACTTCCAACTTCCAGTTACACATTGTGGGCGAAATTGAACCCTGGAGTAGGTGGATTAAATGATGCCTTTGGCTTGGATTTGCTAATGGGCATTGCTTGGGGATAATTCTCCAAAGACAAAAAAAATTTGTATTTTTAATGAAAGAGTATGGTTATTATAGTGTCACAAGTGTATGAAAGGAAACTTGGATTGTTTCTTGATAGAGAAAGCCAGCAGCCATTAAATCAGAGTCCCTCATGTTTCCTCCAATCTATCTTCCCTCTCCTCCCAGTATAAATAATGGAATAATTTTTGCAAGTTTTTTATCTATCTTTGAACTGTCTCCAAGTTCTTGGGTGTCTGCTTTAGGTGGAGATACCTTTAAGTATGCATGGATAATAATTTTAAAATAATAAATGCTAAAAAATCTTGTATAGGATTGTTGTGACAATTTCCTGGTTGGGTTATGTGGATTCATTGCAGGTGCTGTTAGACTGAGCAAGATTGCTCAACTATAAAGCCATACCTTGTATGTATAAATTGTTTAAATAATAGTGTTTTCATTGTAAAAATGGAAACAGTACCAGATGCTGTGAAGAATGTTCATTGCAACTGGCAAAATCAATCACTGCTTTAAAGTGTTTGTTCTGTGCTACTGAACAGAACCCTTATAACCTGTTCTCTAAATGAGAAAGCAGTTAATTAAGTATAGATTTGATCTTGACAGTTTCCTAACAGTACTATGTGATTGTGGAATCCACTGGCTCTGTGCTGCAAGAAGAAAAACATGAATAGTTTTTGCATTGCATTGTGTGTGCTCCTTGCTTCTTTTCTGACACACAGATACATGCTGTGTTGCTTGTCTGTAACACTTAAAAATAGCTGTAAATTGTGACAGAACCATCAAGCAGTTAATCTTGAAGGAAAACCAGAATTAAGCGTTTATGAAAAAAATCTTAATATGGTTTCTTTGTGTGTATGCATTGCCAGAAAGCCTATAATTATGAGATCAGATTCTTTCCCTTCTCCCTCACCCTCTCCTGCCCCTTTCTGCACTGGACCAGTCTTGTGAATGAACTGCTTGCTGTGTTATTTCTTCAGAATGTGAACTCAAGCACCATTCAAATACCAGGCAGAATACAGAATAATTTTTTTTGCTCAATTTTTCTGCTGGTGCTGCACTGTAGTATCTAAATGGTTTGCAAATGTTAGTTTAATCTAATGTGTACCCCTTGTGATGAACAAAGTATATCACACCCTTTGCCTAGAAAGGATATTGATACACAGATAACTTCAATAAAATGGGGGTCTTTTTCTGTGTGTAGCAAATGCCTCTAAACTCATCCCCTCAGAGAATTTGGTAATTTTTTTAGCATTTCTGTTACTGAGGTTCTGTTCTTGGGTTGATGCTGGTTATAGTTGTTTACTGCAGCAACATCGCTTGAATAAAAACTCTGCAAGTTAGTGTTGCCTTAGCTCGGGCCCCAGGAAGCAAGAAGAATTTGATTTGTAATTGTTTATGAGGTTCAATTTGAATAATAAATAATAGTCTGTGAAACAATGTGATCTTGAACAGTAAAGTTAAACCCCTTTGGTATCGTGTCCTACTGTCCCTGCAGTCACTTGTATTGATTCACACAACAGTTTTTAACTTAAGGAAATTATGTGTTGCCTAAAGAGTTTGAAAAGCATGGTTTTGAATAATTTCCTTAAATATAGTCTGTATCTACAATATGGAGGAGTTATTGGAAATAAAGTTACAGCCTGAACATTTCCAGTGGATTTCATAGACATTTACTAATGGTGCTTTAAAAATTACAGTTTCACCTTAGATCCTTTTTGATAGAAATCTGTTCTCTCATCTTTTCCTTTCATTGCATCATGCCCTTCTTCATTCTGCTTTCTCCTACTTTGCATTTGTGGTGCTGAACCCAGGCTGTTTCCTCTTCAGTGCTGGGATACTGGAGCAGGGAAGGACTGTGAATATTCTTATGTCCTGTGTCTGGCTACCCAGTGGCCCCTAACTGCCCAAACCTGATTTTTTTTTACAAGTTAAAAGATGCCTAAATATTTAAGGAAGTGAGCATGATTTTTTCTTAAAGTACTTCTTGAGAAATTTTTAGTAAATGTAATTTTAAATGGTAATTTAGATTTTTGGATTAAACTCTAGCCTGCAACAGCCGCCTGAGCTTTGGTGAAGGTGTAAGCAGTTGAAAGCTGGGCTCCCTGATTGTGCCTGTCACAACCAGTAGTGTTTTGGCTGCTTGTCCTGCTGGAAAACCACTTTGGTGGTTGTATTCCATGGGAGCAGGCTGCAGTGCTGTGATACTGAATTTTTGTGAGTGAGCCCATAGCAGATGCATGAATGATTCCTGTCCGTGGTCCCAATGAATGCTGTTGCAGTGTTTCTGCTAAACCACATCACCAGGGCTTTTGAGGTTTGCAGGTATTTTGGTTTTTGTAGATGGACTGTCTGGTAAAAATGTTGTTTTTTCCTGCTGGTCTTTGCCTATGAAAGCAAGACTTCTTCACCACTTCGAGAACAGTTACACAGACCCTAGAAGGAAGGGTAGTTCTTCCAATATGATACAGAGTTAGTTTTCAGCACATACTGCCTAGTGAAGAGATGGCATTAATCACTTTGTACTGAAGCACTGTTTTTTGGTATAACTTATTCTTTGCAGTAAGTACATGTTCTTGTTTCAGGCAGTTTTGTGCCCATAATCATACACTGAGACAGATTTAAATGTGCACAGTTGACTTCATGAGTGCAGCTTACCCCCTTCATGTGCTTTTGGGGATTTTCACCCAAGTCTCCAGCTGGGTTCACAAGGGAGCTGTCATGATAGTGAAGAAAACAGCAGTATCTATGTCCTGACCAAATTAGCATCCCCACTGCCTGCCTGCCACAATTGTCATGGGAGTGTTTTCATTGAAAGAGCAGGATCTTAAAACTGATCAAAAACGAAGCCCAGTTGTTCTGTGTCCCTTCGAAAGATCTCTACCCTGTTATGTTTAATGTTTATGAATCTGAGAATTAATACTTTCTGCTTATCTGTTTGGGCTACTGTGATTAGAGGTGAAGGGAAAAAAAAGTTATTTTCTGAGTTTTAACGTCATCCAGGAGCAGGAAAAAAAGTGTACCAGTCTAAAACTGGTAATTTTAAAGCTACTAATATTCATAGAGAAGGATTAATAGCTGAAGTGTTTTCTATTCTAAAATGTTCAAAAAAGTTATTTCTGTGGAAGAGACTTCTTTTGTTTTAAGGTTTTGTAATGTATGTGTATGTTAATGATCTCTGTTAGTGACCCAAAAGGTGTTCGGCTCTAGACATACTAGGCTAGGAGAAGGTTGCCATTAGAATTCTTTGGAAGAGCTAAGATTTTTAGTTGCTTCTCAAATATAAGGGTTTGAAAAAGTCATTTGTAGCAGCCAGATAACTTATAGATGTTTCTCATGCCAACCATCTAAAATTTATGCCATTAAAAGCTTTATCCATGCTTGTAACATCACATGTTTTCATTTTCTTCTCTTGAGCATGTGATATGATGTTGTATATAGCTAAATGTGAAACCACTTGGCTGTTTGTCAACCTGTGTGCAAATCTGCCTCCTTAAGCCACTCTCTATAGCTTGATACAGTGTGTGGCATGTTACTTGTTATTCAAAAACGTAGAATAAAACAGAATCTCCTAATGACCAGCAAAGCAAGTTGCAGAGGCCTCATCCATGTCATCAGTATCAGTTGGTGGGGAGAACAATTGGGAATTATGGTAATGGCCATGAGCTGAACAGATTTATTCAGGAGGGGATTGCTCAGTGTGCTTCCCCTGCAGTTTGATGTGTTGTTCAGAAGGGCAGATGATATTCTTTAGAATTAGGCAAGTCTTAGGAAAAATGGCCTTGCCAATTAAGCCACACTCTGCTAAGAAGGAAATGCCAGTAATAGGACTTTATGAGACAATAATTGGACACTTAATCTAAAATTTATTCCTGTCTGAGCAAATTGTGGAGGCTTAAACTAATGATACTGATTTTTGCTGGTAGATTAAGCAGTGGTAGTTGAAGGAAATAAATGTTTGTTTTTATCTGTGGTATCCTGAAGAGTCTATGTGTAGAGCTGTTTGTATTTTATGGATGTTAAGATAGAGATGGAGGAAACTGATCTATTTCATTTAAAAAATGGATGAAAAAACTGACAAGCTGTTAAACTGAGAAGTCTGGATGAATCTCTTTCTTTGTTGGTGAGATTCACCAGCTCTCCTTTCTCTCAGCTCTCCTACTTGCTTCTTTAGAACTGTAGACCCTGGCCCTGACGTTTACACATCAGTGTGTGTTTGCCAGCCCACAGAGGATGGCTAATGAAACTCTCCTCAGATACATCTTTTAGAATGCAGTAGTGATACTTTGTTCTCTTTTCTAAGTGCTGAAATGCCTCTGGGTTCCCATTGTCATCTTTATCTTTTCTGTAATGGCAAATTGAGTAAAATAAGACAGTAATTTCAGTACAGCCCAAGTGAAACATCATAGGGGATGTCATGTGGTGTAGAAGCTGTGTTAAGCAACACAGGGAAAGAAACTTGGTTAAATCAATACCCAAATAAACACAAAAAATGCATTTTAAAGGTCAGATTCTGGTTTGGGTTTGTTTTTCTTTTTTTCCCCTCTCTCTCTTCTTTCTACTGACATAAATCTAAAGAGATTGCATTTGTTTTTACTGCAGGTTTGTCTCAACAGATGTGAGGGCAGAGTCTGTTCAGGAGTTTGTTTGTGACAGACCCGTTAAACATAAAGAATATCTTGCTAAGCCATGATTTTTTTAGTATGTTGAGGAACCTATTTTTAGGAAGTGTTCTAGCTGTTAGACTTCATAGGCATGATGGTTTTTATATTTTCTATAGCTTTAGCTGTGTCTTGTGACTAAGTATGACATCTTCAGAGTTTCTGTATTAAAATGTTCTTGGATGGAGATTTTTCTGCAGG